TTTTTTGCATTGAGTTGATAGAGTAATTTGAGTTAATGAGCTCCTTAACGAGCTCGGTCTCGGAACGAATTAAACTCGTAAGTCAAGGCCCCACTGTATATGGATAAGTGGATTGCTTGATTTCCAATGTAGTGTGTAATTACTGTAAACACAAAGCAACCAGCTAAGAAGCTCATTTTTATATTTTTTGCCACATTCTGTTCCTCTTGTCTCAGACTTAATAGTTCAGTGTCCTTAGAAATAAGCCATTTCATTCATCTCCACCATAGCCCAGGGATCGTCAGTAGCTTGATTTCCTTTTGAAATAGGTAAACCTTTACCTATCTGCTGTGGCTTGCATGCACTTCAGTCCTCTATATCCATCCCTCTCACCCTGCCCCGCCCCCCATGTCTGTATGTTTCCTCTTCCCTCACTGACCACCATCTCCTCTTCCTCTAGGCATCTTGCGAATGGGTTGCCACTCATCGGTAAGTTCTAGTTCTCCACATTTGCAACAGTCTTTAGCCCCCACTTACTTACCTTCTCGCCTCAGGCCTGCGGTTCCTAGAACACGGCAGGACCATTGCTCAGCTAAGGTCTTCCCTTATATCGGGGAAGGAGGAGGAAGAAGATGAGTGTAACTGTTTCCCCCAATGTCATATTTCTTAAGGACATCACTCATAAAAAATATTTTAGTTATATTGACTTCCCCTAGAATTTTGATGTATGGTTGTTCTCAGGATAAAGATTTTTTTTAGTTGATGTATGTGCACTTTTCATTCAAAATGAAAGTATATATTGTTGCATAAAATGTTTTTAATATACTTATTCTTACCAAAATGAGTCACAGGTATCTGAGATCAAGCGTTCAGGCCTATTGAGAACAGAGATGAATGGTATTTAAATAGCACAAAGGAGGGTGAGAGCAACATCTGTCAGCGGCCCTGCCCCCCCTCTGGGTCAGCGACAGGCTTTCCTCTAAGACTTCGTGACACACGGAAAGCCACCGAAAGATCTCTACAATGTTTCTCGCACATTCAATGTTGACAAAAGCTTTAGGCGAATGTCTAATGCTACTTATTTTGCTTTCCATATACAATGTTATTTCCATTGACTTTTTTATATTTCACGGATGTGGAAACACACTGTATTATGTTTTTTTCAAATCTGATTCACACCTATAACCAGGGATCCTTTTCCTTCTTTTTAGGTTTGAACAGTATCATGTTATGTTTTTATAATTAGTGTAGCGTCTCTGTTTTTTCATCATAAAAGGGGACTCACAGCAGGGCTGTCACCGGGTCACAGGGTTGTCAAGAGTTTAAACAAATTAAAACATATAATGACAGCAACAACTAACATTACTTGAATATTTTCCACATGCCAAGAGCACGTGAAGTGCTTTACCGGCATTACCTCATTTATTCCGCCCTATGACTCTGTGTGGTCAGTACTATTATTATCACATCCCCACCCTTTTTTTAAGCAAATGAGGAAACTGAGGGCACTGAGCGTTGATAATGACACTAGGTTGCGAGGAGGTGAACAGCAGGGCTGGGATGAAAGCTCAGGCAGGTGGATTCCGGAGCTGCACTCCTAACCACTGTGCCAGGCGGCCTTCCAGGGAAGGCAGCAGCTGGAAGAACCAGGCTGTGGGCCGGTGGGAATTTTTATAAAAGGTGAGAAGTATACTTTAGCGAATATGAAACGGATGTTTCCATGTTACTGATGCCCAGTCCAGTCTGGCGAAGGCATCCCCAGGACTTAACGGCTGCTATTTTGGTACGTTTTTTCAGGCCCCTTGCTTCCTTCTTTTCCTGAATGCTTTTAGCATCTGACTTCAAGTAAAAGCACGTTGATGGAAAGAACACGAGGTTTCCAATCTGAGAAGGGCTCGATTCCTTACCAGATGTGTGATCTTGAGCAAGCTACATGTCTTACCGAACCCATTTTCTTCTCTGTAAAGATGGCAATAATATCTGCTTCAGCCCCTACAACAGGAGGCATACAGTGATCCAGCATTCAGACACCGAGGAAGACATTTAGGAAGCTCAACGGTGGATGCGGAATTCGGCACACTGCCGAGGACTGAGAGCACAATCTCAGCCGCCTCCCTCGCTCAGTTTTGCCAATTCTTGATGAGGATGGAAATTCATATTAGGATCTCACTATTATTTTGTGGCTTATCCACATTTTAAATTCTCTCTACAGATAATTGTATATTGTTCTCATTCCACAATTCATGTAATAATTCTTAGTGTGTCTTTTTGTTATTTTGGCCAAGTCTGAACATAAAGGACATTTTAAGGGATGCCGCACATATATCTAACTTGTGTTGTTAGTAAAAATTGTGGTGCACAAATGATATGAACAAATGATTCATGGAATAGAAAATATGATTTGTTTGCCAGTATATGGGAAACAACCGTGCTCTCTGGAAAACAAAGGCATGCCATATGACAGCACATGAGAACACATGTGCGGGTGGGGGTCATGCTCATCGCTCACGGGTACATGAGCTGGATGAAAACCTGGGGGGAGGCATTTTGTAATATTTAACAAGAATCTTAAAATGGTAATATATTTTAAGATAGTTTCCAGCTTCAAGAAATAACACAAGGTACCATGAAGGCTTTCAGTATAACATGTTCATTGTTGCATTATTTATAATAAGAAGTTGGAAACAACCTAAATGCCCTACAAGTTGGTAATAATTAAATAAACAATACATTCTCCATATAATAGATTACTGTGTAGTTACTTAAAATGCTTAAATAATGTATAGCAACATAAGGAAATACATGTCATATTAAGTAAGCGGAAAGCAAGATATATTTTATTACAGTATGATCACAAGTCAAAAAAGCTGTAGAAGTACAAAGAGTTTTCAAATACATATACCAGAATGCAGTAATAATTCCTTGTGAAGTGACGATGATGGATGTCTTGTTTTCCTGCTTTTAACTTTTCTATATTTGTTCACTTTTTGCGCAATGAGCATAAGTTACTTTACAACATTAAACCCAAAGCAAACCCTGTAGGAGGAAGGATGTGGTTGCCTGGTGAGCGGCATCTGTTGAGCGCGATGCCGTAATAAGGCAGTGTGCTCTGTATTGCTCTGCTCCACCCAGGGATTCTGGGAGAATTAAAGATTCCAGCACGTGGAACTAGGACCAGTGTAGGTTACTATTTAGTAAGAAACTATTACAGAAAATTTAAATTTTACCATCTTACATTAGGGATGGGAAGGTACAATGTGAAAGGCTTTTTTTTTTTTTTTGCGTTTCCAAAGAATTCCGTTTCCTTCATGAGCAAACTTTCCTAAGCATTCTATTGCATGCATCCTCTCAGGAATCTCTCTTTTTGGTGTGACGTAAGGAGAAGTTTGTGTGCACTGGAACCTTTATCAGAAGCAGACCAAGGGAGGAAGACAAATGTTAGTTCGGTCAGTTGTTTCCTTGAAAGCTCTCACCCCTTGTCTGGTGGTGATGAGCAGGGGCCTGGCTTACCCAGGGCAATCCTGGCTCGCACCTGTTGTCCAGCCATAATTATTCAGAGTGCCCTCTGTTTCTCCCATATTGCTCTGGTTTGGACAATAAGTTACACGGCCACACTAGGGACCTCAGATGTGGGGAGAGGGGAGGAAAGAGCGGTACCATCTGGATGCTGACTCCTGAGTGGAGGGAATGTGTGTGGCTCCCCACAGCCAGAACGTAAGGGGGACAAGCCAGCAGCAGCAGCACGGGGAGGGACAAAAACTAGCCCAGTTGCCAACAAACACGGCCCACAGGCTGTATTCGAGAGTCTAAATTAGTCATCTATGACTTGATAGTGAGCCTGACAGCTCTGGCTCTACCTGAAGGTGGAACAGAAAACCTACCCAGTTGATTTAAGATACTGAAGACACGCCTGGCACAGGGTTCTTTTCTGTCGGCCCGCTCTGGCGCCTGGCATTTCCACCATTAGAGTTATAAGGAAATGTTATCAAAATAATTCAAATTCTTATCTGGACAGGAGAGCACACAAGGACAGGGGAAACAGCACAGCTCAGGAGCTGGAAGGATCCGCATGCGGACTCTGCTCTTACCAGCTGCCTGGCCCTGGGCAAAGGACTCGGCTTCCCCAGTTCGGCGTCTTCAGGAGAACAAAAAGGAAAATGAGACCGCCCTCACGGTCCCTTGGGGCAGCAATGGCCACTGCACGTGAAAATGCTCTGCTCATACATCCGACACCTCAATACAAAAGCACTCCGCAAATATCAGAGTGTTAGTCTCATGCAGTCATTACAATAAGGCAACACATGAGCAGTGAGCATGTCCCGGGGAAAAACACAAATTAGGGAAATTGTGATGGGTGGTAACAAGGAAGAGAGAGAGGGCTGGAGCCGGCTGGCTGATCATCTGAACCATCTGGGAGCTGTTGAGAAAACAACAGGGAAAACAGTTAGTGGGCTCCATCCCACCAGCGTGAGATTCAGTTGATCAGACATACAGCCCAGAGTAAGTAGATTGGGGGGGGTTGAGGGTGGGGATTGAAGCTGCTGAGCATGATGCAAAGAGGACCAGGCAGGACTAGAAAGGAAGTGTTTGGGGAAGGAAATAACAGAACTTTGTTGCTTTTTGTTATTGTTTGTTTGTTTTTGTTTTAAATCAGAGCTAGCCTTGCTAGAAAACTAAAGGCTAAAACGAATTTTTGAAATTTTTGGTAAATGCCCCTCCCAACCCACTTCCCCCAACACGAGCACATAAACCGCATGTGGGCTGCTTCACTACTGAACTCCAAGCACTTAGAACATAGCCTGGCACATAGACCGGCATATCAAAAATTGCACAAATGAATGTTATTTGCCCGTGTCACTGTTTCCCCCACTCATGCCTGTAATGTATAGTTGGCTACGTATTGTTGTTGCCGTTCTGGAGCTGCTACAGGGGAAGGCTGTCAGCCAGGTTTAGGGCGCAAGCCTTGATCCAGGTCAGGGCTCTCAGGTGGTAACTGCTACTTCCACCGCCAACCTTGATCTTTGTTGGCGACCTGTCAGGTTCAGTTGTTGTGATATCTGACTTACGCTCTTCAAACACTAGGATTACCCTACAAGGACAGAGCTTTTTAAAAAGTTGTGTTTCATTGGTTATTCCTGCAAATAATACGGAAACAGGAGTCTGATCTTTCATTTCTCATTGACATTTGTTGCTATCCTTTAGAATATCCAGTGCAATACAAGGATTTAAATAATGCAATTTGGTGATTATTTTTATCGTAACTTTACTGATAGCCTTAAGCTTTGGAATAGGAAGTAATTGAGATTTTATTTTGGGTACCCTCCCTTCTCAGCTATTCCTTTAATCTACTGCCAGATGTGTAATATACAAACTGTAGATTGAGATGAGTGATCTCATCAGTTCAATTCTAGAAATGTTTGTTGAGTGCCTACTATGTTCTGTCACGTCAGGGGCTGAAAATATGAAGATCAATAAGATAGCTATGACCTCAGTCTCTAGTGAGATACATGACACCAGAATATACATATATACGTATGTATGAATATGTTATTATGCATAAAACCAGATACACACATCTATACATATACATACAGTCAGCCCAGGATGCTTTTGAAGACAATTAATGAAATACTCAATTTAAAAATCTCAAACAGGGAGCCCATTTATTATTCACAAATCAAGAATTTTGAGGGAGTCTCTTGGTTGCCGAATACACTGCCCTGATGACATCATGGCTCTGACCTGCTTCTCTGCACTTTTTAGAGTACAGAGAGGGCTGCTCCTCATTCTTCCAAGATGACCAGGGGAACAACTGGAAGGGTAGGTGCAAACATAACTGGAGTCTGCCGGCAAGGAAGAAGTGTGTGTGCCAGGGGTGGCGGTGACTGGGTCTGCGCGTGTGATTAGGGGGAGTAGTCGGTCAACTGCCACACCCAGATTTTAAAGTTTAGTAATCTTATAGGCTAATTTTGCCTGAGAAATGCAATGATTTGTTAATACACTAAAGCCTGCTAAAGAGTAAAACAGGAAAGCGTATGCTAGGCTTGTTAATACGTGGCATGATTTTATGGTATTATTTAGTTTAATAGACAAAATTATACATGTTCATTAAAAAATATAAGCAGCAAAAGCAGACCATGGTTTAAGGTCTGATGTGTGTCATTTTCACATTTACATTTCTATGCATTTCCAAACAAAGGCGTAGGTGTATGCATACGTGTGTGTATACACTCACCAAAAATGTAGATGCAGCCTCAGTATCCAGTATGCTTGTGTTCTTGGCCTGGATCCTCTAGACAAGAGACGAAGACACAGGATTAATTAAAGTGAGTGCCCTGGCCAGTGTGGCCAGCTGGTTGGAGCATCTTCCTGTGCACTGGAAGGTCAGAGTTCAATTCCTGGTCAGTGCACGTACCTAGGTTGTAGGTTCCATCCCCTGTTGGGAAGCATGTGGGAGGCAACCGATAGATATGTCTCTCGGACTTTGATGTTTCTCTCTCTCTCTCTCTTTCTCTTTCTCTCTCTCTCTTTCTCTCTCTCTCATTTCCTCCCTTCCTAGAGTCAATTAAAAAAAAAAGGCAAAATGCTTAAAAAAACACACAAGACAAAAAAAGGATTAAAGTGCAGCCACAGATGGTGGTGAGGAGGAAACAGTAGAGGGAAGGTAATAAAGAGGCAAAGCAACTTGGTGTGACGTGGATTGGCAACGACACAGCAGGTGCTTGGCAGGTGTGTCCGCTTGGCACGCAGGACTCCTCTGGAGAGGCTGCGAGAAGCCTCACTAGGGGCAGTCCCCTGCAGGAAGGGAGGGGAGCGGGTTTTCTGCTCAGATCCCTCCTGCCTCTCATTTCCCATCAGCCAAGTTTCACCCAGAGGAAGGAACTCCTTACATTTCAGCCCCTGGCAGCCATTCAGTAAGCCAGTTCCCATGCTCCATAGTGTGGCATTTCATCCAAATCTAGGATGACGATGTAATGCCAAACAGGGCCCATCATGGAGGAAGTAAAGGCTCTGCAGGCCCAGGGTACCAACTTGAACTTCAGCCACCTCGGGGAGCTCAGCGAAGGCAGTGGTCACGGTCTGAGAAGGTGCTCAACGATTGCATCCAACACACTGGCTTTGCAAAATGGGATGGTATACACATTGTTCTGATATTTGTTTTGTTAACAAAAAATCATAGCCATTACCCGCTGTCAGCATTTTGAGATCAAACTCATTCTTTTTAACAGATGCCTACGATTCTAGAGAATGGATCTGCCATAATTTATTTTGCCATTTCCTTACGGACGGACATGCAGGTTGTTCCCAGTTTTCCATATTATAGAAATTACCCGTCAACAATATACTAGTATACAAGTCTTCCTGGAGGTCAAATTTAAAGCGCTGAGGATAATTTAAAAGGGAAGATCTGACTTACAATCAGTCTCCGGGCTGGTCTGTTGCTAATCTGATCCTGTGACTGCATTAATTATGCCCTGTTGCACTTGGCCCCGGGTCTGGCGGTTCTGAGCGTGTGCCCCTGACGGGGAGCTGCTGGCTTTGCAGATGAAGGTCTGCAACATTGCTAAGGCACGCGACTCTCTGCGAGGCTCCCAATGAGGAGAGATTACTTTCCATTTTTGCATATGCCCCAAAGCCTTTCCATTTGAGTGATCTTGTCAGTGTATCAAATAAAGAAAGAAAGGAAATTCTGTGCATTTGACTTTGCCCAGCCTGCCTTTACGGAGCCCTCTCCTGAGCAGATATCATTAGTCGGGTCTTGGCCTCCAGGTGGGAACTTGAGGAGGGCACTGTGCGTTCCCTGGCAGGGGGTCTGAAGTGTTCAATGATAAGACGACCACCGCCACCTGGGAAATTTTACACATTTCTACATCTCAGGCATGTTTTAGAGGAAAGCTTTTTTATTTTGTATTTTTGTCTTGATAATGCTTTGACATCTTGACCCCTTATGGGAAGCAGCAGGGACTCGGTCTGCTTCCCCCCTTTTCTAGGCGATGTCCCCTCTGTCTCCAGGAGACTGCACAGCCTCTAAAGACCACTCTGGTACCCTTCCTTCCTCCTCTTCCCCGAAACTGTTTAACTATGGAGTTTCTGAAACTTGCAACTTTAATGACTCTACTAAATCCAACACTTTAAGCATCAACTACCTCTCAGACAGATTTTATTATTATAGAATACAAATATTCTTTATTCTACTGCCCTGTTGATTTCTTTCTCAGTCTAGAAGCTTAATAACATAGACCTGCAATAAAATAAAAATCAAATTCTGCATGAAACTATGTAAAATATTGATCAGACCAAATAGGAATGACAAAATTATTAATGTAACTTAGCCTTTAAAGTGCTTGACTAGCAATGCAGAGTGAGAGAAAGAATGCTTCTAGAATTTAGTAAGTGCATCTGACCACTGAATTTAGAATCAGAATAATATATTATGCCTTTATTTTACATGATACTATTTAATATATTTAATGAAAATATATTATGCCACTTTATTATCAGACTAGAGGCATGGTGCACAGATTCGTGCACCAGTGGGGTCCCTCAGCCTGGCCTGCACCTTGTCACAATCTGGGACCCCTTGGGGGATGTCGGATAGCCGGTTTCAGCCAGATCCCCGCAGGCCCGATCCAGACAGGAGGGAGCCCAATTCTGTGCATTGAGGTCTGTTCCCTGGTGGTCAGTGCGCGTCGTAGCGACCAGTTGACTGGTCATTCGGTCACTTAGTTTTTATATATACACTAGAGGCCTGGTGCACAAAAATGTGTGCACTCGGGGACGGGGGTCCTCAGCCCGGCCTATGCCCTCTCGCAGTCTGGGACCCCTCAGGGGATGACCACCTGCTGGCTTAGGCAGCCACAGGGCGATCAGGGATTTTGGGCGCTGCCCCCTGTCACACTGATCCCGGTGCTGGGAGGCCTCGCGGCTCCGCTGACCCCAGTGCTGGGAGGCATATTACCCTTTTATTATATAGGATAGAGGTCTGGTGCACAGGTGGGGGCCGGCTGGTTTGCCCTGAAGGGTGTCCTGGATCAGAGTGGGGGTCCCCACTGGGGTGCCTGGCCAGCCTGGGTGAGGGGATGATGGCTGTTTTCAGGCTGCCCACACCCCCCTTCAGGGTGGGGTCCCCATTGGGGTGCCTGGCCAGCCTGGATGAGGATTTGAGGGCTGTTTTCAGGAGGGCCAAGCCTGCAACCGAAGCTCCCAGTCTCTCCTTTTTTTCTTTTTTTTTAATTCTGGGATTTATTTACCTTCTGTAATTGAAACTTTGTTGCAGCTCCAGCTCCGATGCCAGGCTGTCTGAAAGCAGTCTCTGGTGTTTGTTTCGCTTCTATAATTGAAACATAGTTGCATTCTGGAGCTGTTGCTTTCAGGCTCAGAGCTGGGAGCAGCAGACGGGGAACCTTGGCTTCCTCCATTGCCAGGGCAACCAAGCCTCATGTTCGCTTCAGCTGCCTGGCTGCTGGCGGCCATCTTGGTTGGCAGTTAATTTGCATATCACCCTGATTAGCCAATGTAAAGCGGAGCAGAGGTATGGTTTGTTTATTATTAGATAGACATGTCATTATTAGATAGACAAACCATGTTTGTCTATTATTAGATAGGATAGATTAAGCCTGAAAAATTAGTTAATAATTCCAGATGAAAAAGTTACATTTATATCTTAGTTATTATAGTCTAATAATGGACTACATTTTGTGATTTTTAAGGGTAAAATAATTTCATAAATTATAGACTATACTTTTTAGATTCAGTAACTCTAAAATCAGGAAAGGCCCTAGAACTTCCCTGTTTTGGAATCTGCACTTGTGGCCTTTGTGTCTTTAAAAATGCTTCTCCTTCATTAATCAACATTGTATAAAACCACTTATCACACTGCTGATCAGTATGAATTCATACCATACCAGCTCAGAGCTGGAAATACATTTCTGTCAGCTTCCACAGTCTTATCAAGGATAAATGTACAATTTCTATGTGATATATTTTTTGAAATGTTGAAAATAGTTCTTTGAGCCCCTAATTACCTTTGAGGATCCTCAAGAATCCAATGACTCTCAGATTGGGAGCCATCTCCCTAGGCAAAGTCAGACACCAATTCTTAGATGAAACATGTACCCTGCCTAATAATAGCCATGGTTGGATACCTATGTCTTCTCAAAGTGGCCTAAAAAAAGGCAATTTAATAGTTACTCATTTTCTGAGTCACTGTCAGAAAACAGGAGACAGTGAAAAGAGAGAGGTTTGGTACTTATTTCCATGGTTCCTTCTTTGCTGAGTCATCAGAGGTGGGTGGCATCCCTATCTGACAGCCCTCTTAACACAGTCCCATTTCCTTCAAATAACTGCCCGCTTCCTTAAGTTGTTGAACCATGCCTTTAAGGATGTACATTTTATTTGTTTCCAATATTCTTCTGTTGAGAACAGTGCAGAAATGAATAACTTTTTTTTCCCCTTGACTAGGGATCAAAGGATTGTTGGGGTTGGGCCACTAAAGGGGGTAAATTGGAAATATAGACATTGAGATCTCAGAAAATAGAATGATGAAATTGAGATTTTGAAGTCATGGGGCCCTAAAGTACAGCATAGGGACTATAGTCAATAATACTGTAGGAGAAGGAACCAAGATGGCAGCATAGGTTAACAGCCGGAGATTGCTGCTTCGAACAACCAATTCAAATTACGCCTGAAACACGGAACGGACACCATCCAGAACCACAGGAGGGCTGGCTGAGTGGAAATTCTACAACTAGGAGTAAAGAGAATATCATACCCAGACTCAGAGGAGGCGCAGTGCTGAAGTGAAATTCTCAGGTGTGGAGTGCACGCGGAGCGGGCTGGTGGCACGGAGGGCGCGGTTGTTGTTTACAATCGGGAGGGAGCTTCAGTCTCTGAGCTCCAGAGCCGGGCAAGTCGCTAGGGACTCAGACTCAAACGGGAGAAGCGGGACTG